TGTTGGCCGCTGTTGGCAGACAGGCTACTGGGCTAGATGGACCTTTGGTCTGACCCAGTACGGCCGTTCTTATGTTCTAAGCTCAGAGCTCAGGGTCGGGGGGTCTCACTGGACCAACTTGATTTTCATGCACACCTGCTCCTGGGTTTGCATGTGGCCTTTGGTGGCCAGGTTGGCAGCTATCTTGCCCTAGACGGCCACTTTCCTGTGCCTAGTGCAGAGATTGTGGATGTTGGAGGCCTCCCCCCAAACCTCAATGAGGTCCACAATCTCCACACTAGACCAGACAGGAGCCACCAGCCTGGTCCTGGAAAGAGGCAGAGGGCTGGGTGGCAGCGGGTGGCTGGCTCATGCCATGCCAGGAGCAGGGTCTGCTGGCTGGGTGCTGGCAGGCTTTCTCTCTGCAGAAACCATGTTGACTTTCCCCCAACAAATTATGTCCATCTACGTATCTGACAATTTTATTCTTTACTATAGTTTCAACTAATTTTCCTAGTACTGACGTTAGACTTACCAGTCTGTAACTGCCAGAAGCACCTCTTGAGCCCTTTTTAAATATTGGGGCCTGAGGTGTAGCTCCAGCTTTATGTCTGAGGGAAATAATTTTCAACAGCAAACATGAGGAAGGGGACATCAGCAAATCTACCACACAATGCTGCCATCTCTTGTGTTTTTAACATGAGTCTTGAAGCATGTCATGGTTTAGAGAAAGCCCTAGCTCCTGAAGACTAGTGATTACTGGAGGATCTTAGCTTTCATTGGTTTTAAAAACAGCCACGTTTCCAGCTTTGACAGTATCAGGAAAAAAACACTTAAAAATGAGACTTGTGGGTACCCCAAAAATCCAGAAATAAGCAGGCAACTTAAAAACAACCCTTCACATATTATTTTTAAGCAGTGATCACTTATCTAGATACAATTATATTGTTGGTTTTACTCCTTTTCCTTCTTCCTCTTTGGGTGAAGGGTTTTCACACAGCAGCAGGGGAGAGAAAACATTTTGTCAATGATTTTTGTGAAATGTGATTGTAAAAATCATTAAAAAATGACAGATTAATTCAAGGGCAACCTCATTTGTGCAACTGATTTGATTTCAAACTGCCAGTATCTCTTCCACACCAGGATATCCAGGGATGTTCTTAAGAAGCCTGCACACTTTTCTTGCCTTAATCTTACTGTTTGTTTTTGTATCCACACAAGGCTCTAAAGATATGAAATCAAGACAATACTTTGAATGAAAATGCTCATTTTATTTTTTCAGAGACTGCATCATCAGAGTGATGGAAATTTCTGTTCTGTTTAGGGGTTATTGTTTTTCTGGTAACAAAAGTTACTATTACGGGTTTCCTGGTAGATTTAGAATAGGTCATCATTTTGCAAATGGCAAAACCTCAGTTTAAAAAGTGAGGGTCATCAGAAACTTCAATCAAATGTGAATGAATTTCCCTCTTTCACATGGTTTTCTCTAATTTTCCTTTCCATTCTCTAATATCTCCAGCTGTGTGAGAAGAAGACCTTCCCTACTGTGTTTCTAAAGGCTACCTTCACCTCTTTGTTCCGCAGAGTGTATATTATGGGATTCATCATGGGTGTTACAGCTGTGTGCATAAGGAATATCAGCAGATCACTCTCAGGGGTGGAGCTTGACGTGGGTTTCAGGTAACTCAAAAGTCCTGTTCCATAGAGCAAAGTCACCACTGTGAGGTGAGAGGAGCAGGTGGAGAAGGCTTTACGCCTCCCCTCCGCTGACGGCAGCTTGAGGACAGTGGAAATGATGCGGACATAGGACAGGACTATCAGTAAAAAAGGGCTCATAACAAACAGCACCATCACGGCCAAGCCAAAGATCACGTTCTTCCAAGGGTCAATGCAGAGCATCTTCTGTAATGGTTGAATGTAGCAGAAATAATGGGGGATGCGGTTGGAGCCACACAAGGGCAGGCTGAAGAGCCACGTGGTCTGAACTATGGCCACCGAGATGCCGATGAGCCATGAAATACATGCGAGCAGCGCACACACCTGGCCACTCATGATGGTTGTATAATGCAAAGGGTGGCATATGGCCACATACCGGTCGTAGGCCATGGCTGCGAGGAGACAGCAGGCTGCGAGGCCTGTGATGTTAAAAACATTCAACTGGGCAGCACAACCAGCGAGGGAGATGGTCTTTTCCTCCACCAGGAGGTGAACCAGTAGCTGAGGGGTCACGCTGGTGGTGACGCAGATTTCCGAGACAGACAGGTTCACCAGGAAGAAATACATGGGGGTGTGGAGGGAGGGGTTGAGCTTTATCAGAAGGATAATGATGAGGTTCCCCATCAGGGTGAGCAGGTAGGCGACCAGAAGCACCAGAAACAGAAGGATTTGCAGCTTGTTTAGGTAGGTAAACCCCAGCAGGATGAACACACCGGAGATGGTCTGGTTCTCTGCCGCGTGGCTCACAGAACTGCTCATCTGTAGGGGTGACAAAGACACCGGGTCAGTGACAGACCAATCATGTGCATGTGACTCAATCACTGACAGGAAGGGGTCACAGAAGACCCCTTGGGGGTGCCGCTCACTGTGCTGACAAACCCATTGGTGCTCCCCTCCTTGCTCCCTGGGGCTTCTCACCACCCTGTCCTGCTGAGTCAGATCTCCTGACTTCCGCCACCCAAAGCACAGAGCTGAGATCATCCCCGCCCATCCCGGAGAGCAATAGACACTCAACCCCTTCAGGTCTGAAGAGAAGGCCATTTTGGGCCCAGCTTCCAGGAATTCAACCCGCAGCTCGGATCAGAACCCCAAATAAACCAGACAGGCAAGCGCCCTTTAACAATGACAGGAGGATGGACACATCGATTGCTCCCCCAGGTGACAATTATTTACACTGGGCTGGAGACTAAATCAAAGTGATTTTTTGAGGGACAAGCAGAAGGATTTAAGGGGTTGCAAGTGAGAACAGGCAGAGCAAAGCAAATTACACATGGAAAATGACAAGAAAGGCCGAGCTAGTTCTAACACTAGAATTAGCTCAGCACAATCTCACCTAAAACTGTTCTTATTTCGGCTACACCTCCAAGCCAGGCGAGATCCTTTTTTCCTGGGGTCTCGGGTTCATCCCCCGGGGACTGACATGCCTGCCAGAGACAGAGGGGCAGCAGCTTCCCCTTGTGTCATAGATTCCACTTTGGGCGGAAAGGAGGAAGGAGGAGCAGGGCGGGATGTACGTGGCCGGGGGCGGGGCCGTGTACGTCACCACGACCCCTTCCCCTCCCACTGTGGTATTCAGCTGAGTGCTGCTGCTGGGCTGAGTGCTGCGCTGCTCAGCTGGGCTGCAGCGGGAGAGCAAGTGGCAGCAAAAGGCCATTTGGGGCCTGCGCTCCCCATGCATATACATCAGCATCACAGACGCTCAGACACTGGGCTACTATATATATGACAGCAGTAGTATGGATGCTCCACAGCTGTTATTTCAAAGCAACTACTCCCCAGAGTAATTTGAAGTAATTATTCCTCAGTGCTTCTTGGGGCTCTACATCAAAGTAGCACATTCACAATAACTGGGCCTGCCTTGGACTCATTTCATGACTTCCCTGTAGTGAGGAAATGCTATTTCAATTTTGTTATATTGGAAGTTATTTCAAATTTAGTTATTTCAAAATAATTTCCTAGTATAGACATGGCCTAGAGGAGCTACATCAGGAGATCTGTTCTTCCTCTTTGAACATATTTTCTTTCTGTTTCCATGAAAATTCAAACAGGAAAGTTGGTTTCCTTTCCTTTCCTTCTATATCTAGACTACACCGTTTTTAAACTGTTCTGCATCCAGGGAATGCATTTGCTCTTGCTATTTTTTTTTTTTGTGGAAGAGCAGATGTGCTTTTTCGGAAGCATTCTACAGGAAGAAGGGGACTTCCAAAAGAGGGGATTTTTTCAACATTTGGCTGAATCTAGACAGGCCAAATGTTAGAAGAATGTCTTCTGAAAAAAATATAGGAAAAAGCTACACAAACTAGTAGTCTAGACTCCACCAGACAATGACAGCCTCAGAAGTAGCCGTGGGAGAGCAAGGGTACAGAGGTGTGAGTAGTACATCAGAGCTAAATTCAGTCAGGGTGATTGTGGATGAAAGAGAGCACCTAAAGGCCAAAATTACTTATAATAATGAGTGAGCCATTCCCAGTGCTAGTCAGACCTTTTCTGAAAGTGTCAAAATTTCATATGAATTCTAGCTTAGCTGTTTCATGTTGCAGCCTGTTTTTGAAGGGGTTTTTTTTTACTGAGGATGACAACTTTCAATGTTGTCCCCTTCCCCAAGAATCACAGAACAATTTAAATCTTTTCTGCCTCTTTCATAGTAGCATACGGTTGCATTGTTTTCTTCCAGCCTACAAAAAACACTTTGGGCCATTTCCTTATCTGATGTAAACCTTAGCAGCCTAATGGGGACAAAAAGAGCTACAGTGATTTACACTCATTTTTTATATCCTGGCTATTAATAATTTTACAAGAAGCAAGATCCTACAATTATTTTTACATCTGTTGAAAGGGAATCTTAATAGAACAGGCATGACAGTGAAGTGAGAGAGGTGGAATTAAAATGAGCGATAAAATGTATTGTAGTCTACACCCTTAGCACCTTCAATATGGGGCTATCAAAACAATGCAGCAAATAATAGTGAGCTACTAAGCAGGAATCTGGGATTGATAAAGAGATTGCACATGAAGTCAGTATTTCCAGAAATGGAAACTGAGGTCTGCAGATACCTGAAACTATCTCAAGATGGAAGGACCAGTCTGCTGGAAATAAAACACACACACACACACACACACACACACACCCAAGGCTGTGTCTAGACTGGCCAGTTTTTCCAGAAAATCAGCCGCTTTTCTGGAAAAACTTGCCAGCTGTCTACACTGGCCGCTTGAATTTCTGCAAAAGCTCTGACTTCCTACTGTAAGAAATCAGTGCTTCTTGCGGAAATACTATTCTGCTCCAATTCATGCAAAAGTCCCTTGTGCGCAAAGCTTTTGCGCAAAAGGGCCAGTGTAGACAGTTCAGATTTGTTTTCCGCAAAAAAGTCCTGATCGCGAAAATAGCGATCGGGGCTTTTTTGCGGAAAAGCGCATCTAGATTGGCACGGATGCTTTTCCACAAAAAGTGCTTTTGCGGAAACGTGTCCGTGTCAATCTAGATGCTCTGTTCTGAAAATGCTTTTAACAGAAAACTTTTAACGGAAAATCATGCCAATCTAGACACAGCCCAAAAGTGTTCATCCCCTGCAAAAAAGGGAGTGATGTGCACAAGCACACACTCACAGGGAATCTCAGAGAGAGAATAAAATCAAGCCACCAAAGCAGATGCTGGGGGTGCACAGAACTCTGTAAAAGAAAAGGTGATGATATTCCTAGGACAAGAAACCTGGAGAAGAGGTGGGAATTCTCCTGCCTCCCATAAGAACTACGTTGGGGAATCTATATTGACACTTGTGAGCACTTCCCTCCGTACTACCATAGCAGTGAATGGTCCAGTGTTTGTTTTCCTTTTTCTCCTGAAGCCTCATGAAAATTAAAAATAGTGAACAACCTACATTCAATTCAAAGGATTCAGTATGAAACCGAACGGAGAATGGAATACTGCCCTCAACAACTATTTTTTCTCATGGAGGTGAAATCATCTTTTCAGAAGGGATTTAGATTTATTTCTGGGACTGGGTCTAAATCAAAGGAGAAATTTACTCACCATTAAGAGTCAGGTCAGTGTAGGTTCTTGTCGTTGGCAGTGGAGGGATGGTTTCAGAGCACATCAAGGCATCTGGACACCACGTTATAAACAGGAGAACATGGAAGCGATGAAGGAACCAGATACTATGTGGAGAGAGAATTGAGGTACATTCGGCTGAAAGAGCCCACGACTTAACTCTTGGGCCCCACGGACTGGACTGAGATCAGGAGAGTGGATCCTCTCACTAAAAAAGATCAGACTGACCCACCCAAGGGGTGCATTAAGACCCAGATACAGACCCATTTTAAGCTTAAACATTTCCACTCTCATTCAGTGGGTGATGCTGAGGGGTGGGGAATAGGAGGAAAGATGAAAGAAGGGAGAAGCAAATAACAATCCCCCAGCACAGCAACAACACAGTCACTAAATAGAATCATGGAAGGGTGAGGGGCATGTCAGGTGCTAGTCTATCACTCTGGTTTGCACTGTGGGATCATGGGACAAGGACATCACCTAATATCTCAAGCATAAACGTGCTGAAGCCAAGCCCTGTATCTAGCCTGTGATTGTTAAATTAGTGGATTTCAGATGGAGAGGCTCAGAGAGTCTCAGATTAAATGATACACTCATAGACAGACTGCTGGGTGGATTAGATAGATAGAAGGAAACACACACAGCCCATGTACTCAGACACAAAATCAGACTCTCTGTGCATGTACATTAAATACAAATGAAGAAATCAGGAACATGATTTTGCTCCAATTACAGATCATAGCACAGTGCCCATGGCCTTGGTCGGAGAATGTTTGGGGGCTTAAGTCATGGATTTTTCACTTGCCTTGTGTAAGAGGCAAAGAACCATCTCCTAGCTGCCAGCTCTGCACATACGTTTTTATTTCATTCACTGGCTTCTGGGACCAAGTCCCTGAAGGAAATTTCTCGTCATATTCCACGGAGGAAGAACAGCCCTGTCTCAAATGACAACAAAGCAAGCTTCATTGGGCCAGTCATTTCACAGGAGGCTGCACCAACTTCAGGGAGCATCAGCACAAACTCTGTGTGGGAGGAGGGAGAAACAGGGGCAGGTGTGTGCAGTGAGATGAGGGTCTGACGCATGAGCTCACATACCACAGGCCTGCTGTGAGGCCTGAGGCCCAGGGCCTAGCAGATGGGACTTTGCCAATACACAGCGCAGTGATGCTGTGTGTGAGAGGCAGGCCTGGCTCACAGAATCTGGCAGGAACTGGGATAATGGGGTCACACATTAATTGGTACCAGACCCTGGCTGGGAGCACATTGCATAGGGGTCGGGGCAGAGCAGCTTGTGAGGAGACTTCTTGGTATACCCCTCCAAGTACCAGACACAGAGATCAAGGTTCAGGACAGGGGTGAACCTGGCAGCAAGGTAGACAGCTATTGAGCCCCCGTATGTGAAGGAATCTTCTTCTCCCCACTGGCATCCCTATAAGCAGGGCTCAACAATTAGGGCAATCTACTCGCCATGGGAGAGTAGATTTTAGCCCGGTGTGGCCGCACAGCATGCCAAACCATGCAGCTGGCAAGCGTGGCTCAGTGCCGCTTGTCAAGCCCTGCCTATAGGTGGGCGTCAATCCCGGCAACAAGTGTACCGTTGCCCATGTGCATGCATAGCTTAGCAGGAAGATCAAGATGGCTTCTTCCCTAGGTCATTGGTCCCGTCACCTCATGCCTTGGAGCACCCCTCTCAGTTAGGCTACGTCTACATTGC